AAACGAAACAATTTTCGAATCTTTTGTAAAAGTTGTTTCTGTGTTTGCAAACTTCAATATAATCCTGAGAGAAATTTGTAGCAAAAAGTTTAAAAAGTTGTAAGAGTTTTAAATGAAGATAGACTTCTTCTTTGTTTTATCATGTTACTGAGACTATAGGTTTATTGCTGCAAATAGTTTTGAAAAAGTTCTTTTCAAGTAATTAGGATTTTAAAAGGCACCTATTAAAATCTTCCCTTGGGTTTTCATGAGGTGGGTTAGTTCAAAGGATACAGCGTTCGCCTGTCAAAGAATTTCGAATACCGACGGTGGTTGATTTATTTAAAGACTGCTTCTAGCAGTACACTAACCACAGTGCTGACAGTTATGTGTACCGAATGAAAGACAGATTAAAAGTTAGAATTCTCGTAGGAGTAATCGTGGAAGAATTTATTCCAACGATTTCTTCCATGAAGCTTGTTCCCTTGTCTTTGTTCGCCTGTGTTGTCTTCAATAGTGCAGGAATAGTGCAACTTACTCAATGAATTGAGGCATTATTAAATCAGTTAAAAGTTAAGATTGCCTTTTAAAATGCAAGTTCAGCATCAAATAAACGTAATTAATAAAATATAAGTGAGTGAGCTAGTGCTTTTAAAAAGGTGGTGGATAGATGTATCGCGAAGTAACAGCGCCATCCAGTGACAGAAACAACAAACAGTGAATCACTGAAATGGAAGATAGTGAAGAAATATCTATTTTATAACATTTTCAGAGTATAACTGACTTCAAATAAATTAGCAAAATTTTCAATAGCATCCAAATTTAAAAGAAAAAAATACTTTTTTTTCTCTAACAATACTCTTCTTGAGAAATGGAAAAATGGCCAAAAACTCCCGACAAACAACACGCTTGGAATCTTTTGATGTGGAACTAAACACATTTTAATATTAATGATCCAGAAGTACGCCATTATCTGTACCTAATTGGAGTATAATAGCCCTGAAGAGCTGTAAATGCTGCTGAGAAAGTAAAGCTCCATAGTTTCATGCAGAAAACGCCCTCCAGTTGGCAATGTGACAGCGAAATGGTAGAAAATGAGGTACAAGAGCATAACACTGATGAAAATGTTTTCGAATCTGAGTTATTCTTTAAAAAGAACGATCATCATCATTTAACTAATTACGCCATAACCTTAATTAATGGTTAATACTTGAAAAGCATGCAGCAACCAAAATAATGCATTTAAGTTATTAACGAATTATTTAGTGAGCTTTTACGTCTCAATTATTAGTCATGGTAATGATTGCTAATTTCGATCCTAAAGCGCTTCGTTGGGTTCAGTTACGGATAAACATATTAATTAGATTCTTAGCATGCATGTAATTTTAGTTTAAAAAAATTCGAATCCTGCTTTTTATGTTTGTTTTTTTTCGAGTTAATTTTTATTTTAAATAACTGTTGGAATTTTGATTGTATATTGAACTAAAACACCTTCACGTTATTAAAGCATTTGTGAAAGAAAGAATATGTAAAACTTAATGGCTAAAAGTTTTTATTCTGCTCCAAACTTCAGAGATTTAATTTACTGTATAGTTAAGAGTAGGACTGGGGTATAAATCGATATATTGCGACATATCGATTTAACGCCTGTATCGCTGGCCGATGCAGCGACTTTCGTTCCAGGCGATGCATCAGAAATCTGATTTAAGCCGTCGAGTAAAGAAGACGAACGATATAGCGATATACGATATAGCGATACCAGACACGCAAGGATCTCTTACGTTCCGATGCCAACTCGCGCTGGGGAAGACGATGTTCGTATCGTTATATTGAAACGGCCTTGATTGATGAGCGGTAGAATCAGAATCAGTTTTGAGAACATATATCGTGTTCTCGTATGTTCGTTTCCGCCATCTCTTAGTTTTTTTTTTCTTCTTTGTCGCGACTTGATATCGTTCCTTGTAGATTATTTTCAGTGGGACTGACTTTGTGAACGCCGTCGTTACCTTGTTCTGAACGTAATCTATTATTGAAAAGAATATATAATGAAGTGTTTCTTAATTAATGAGTAAATTTTTTTTTTTGAAACAAAACTTTCTTTTTTATTTTTAAATTTGAAAATTAATTTTGATATTATATATTTAAGTATTATTTTACATTATTGAATTTATTACAAACGGAAATCTAATTTAAGGTGCCCATAAAGAATTAAATAAAAAAGTAATTAAATTTGTTAGGCTATTTTTTACTTTATTTTAATTTATTGAAAACTTTTTGGATAAAATAATAATTTAATGGGTTTTTATTACTGATTTTAAATTTATAAATCTTTAGTTGTTTTCATTTTTATAAATAAAATCATAACAAAACTTATTTTTCCTCTTTTGGATTTGGACATAAGTCAATAAACTTTTTTTATTCAAAAAAATTAGTAATGTTTGCGATTGCGACTACTTTCTTTAAAATCATTTAGCACTTAGTTTTATTAAAGAGTATAATCGTGTTTTTTAATTTTCTTACAATATTGTCAGTTGAATATATTATCAAATATCATAATTCTTTTGTTTTTATTTTTAAGAAATTAAACCTTACTTTGTAATTATTCAATTTAACATTATTATTTATGTGAAATAATAATGATAAAAATTAGTGTTGTTTTAAAAGTGTTTTCTTTTTGCTTAATTTATTTAGCACTTTTTTTTAAGCATACAAATAATTTCTAACGAACTTATTTTTTAAATTTTCTCTCTATATTGTTAGGTAAATATATTGATAAATTTCAAATTATTTATTTTTAAACTAAGAAATCTTTCGTTATTTGAAAGATCATTTTTAGTAAATATAANCATGTTTATCTTTTGTTCATTTTATTATTTTTCACAAACTTTTTGCCACATATTTTATAATATAAAGGTTTTGTAGCTGCGTAATTTTTCTCATTGCAAGCATTAAAACATGTTTATCTTTTGTTCATTTTATTATTTTTCACAAACTTTTTGCCACATATTTTATAATATAAAGGTTTTGTAGCTGCGTAATTTTTCTCATTGCAAGCATTAAAACATGTTTATCTTTTGTTCATTTTATTATTTTTCACAAACTTTTTGCCACATATTTTATAATATAAAGGTTTTGTAGCTGCGTAATTTTTCTCATTGCAAGCATTAAAACATGTTTATCTTTTGTTCATTTTATTATTTTTCACAAACTTTTTGCCACATATTTTATAATATAAAGGTTTTGTAGCTGCGTAATTTTTCTCATTGCAAGCATTAAAACATGTTTATCTTTTGTTCATTTTATTATTTTTCACAAACTTTTAGCTATATATTTCAAGATATAATAGTCCGGTAGATGCATATTATTTCTCATTGCAAGTTGGAAAACGTGTTTTTGTTCATTTTATTATTTTTCAAAAACATTTAGCTACATATTTCATAATATAATTATCTCGTAGCTGTATATTATACCTTATTAAAAATGGGAAAACATTTTTTTTGATTATTTAATTATTTTTCTCAAGCTTTCAGCTGCATATTTTATAATATAATTGTCTTGTAGCTGCATATTATTTCTCATTACAGGTTGGACAACATGTTTTTTTGTTCATTCAATTATTTTTCACAAACTCTTAGCCACATATTTCATAGTATAATTGTCTTGTAGCTGCATATTATTTCTCGTTGCAAGTGGGAAAATATGATTTTTCTTCATTTAATTATTTTTTACAAGCTTTTAACTACATATATCATTATATAATTGTCTTGTAGCTGCATATTATTTCTCATTACAGGTTGGAAATCATGCTTTCTGTTCTTTTAGTTGTTTTTCACCAACTTTTAGTTACATATTTCACAATATAATTGTCTTGCAGCTGCATATTATTTCTTATTTCAAGTCGGAAAACATGTTTTTTGTTCATTTAATTATTTTTCCCAATCTTTTAAATACATATTTCATAATATAATTGTCCTGTAGCTGCATATTATTTTTCATTACAGGTTCGAAAATATGTTTTTTTTTTGTTGTATTTTCACAAACTTTTAGCTGCGTATTTCATAATATAATTGTCTTGTAGTTGCATATTATTTCTCATTACAGGTTGGAAATCATGTTTTCTGTTCTTTTAATTGCTCTTTGCAAACTTTTAGCTACATATTTTACAATATAATTGTCTTGTAGCTGCATATTATTTATCAATACAAATGGGAAAACATGTTTTTTTGATTATTTAATTATTTTTCACGAACATTAAGCTGCGTATTTCATAATATAATTGTCTTGTAGTGGCATATTATTTCTCATTAAAGGTTGGAAATTATGTTTTTGTTCATTTAATTATTTTGTACAAACTTTTAGTTACATATTTCACAATATAATTATCTTGCAGTTGCATATTGTTTCTCATTACAGGTTGGAAATCACGTTTTCTGCTCTTTTAATTATTTTTCCCAATCTTTTAAATACATATTTCATAATATAATTGTCTTGTAGCTGCATATTATTTTTCATTACTGGTTCGAAAACATGTTTTTTTTTGTATTTTTTACAAACTTTTAGCTGCGTATTTTATAATATAATTGTCTTGTAGTAGCATATTATTTCTCATTGCAGGCTGGAAATCATGTTTTCTGTTCTTTCAATTGCTTTTTACAAACTTTTAGCTACATATTTCACAATACAATTGTCTTGTAGCGCTGCATATTATTTCTTACTTCAAGTCGGAAAACATGTTTCTTGTTCATTTAATTATTTTCCCCAAACTTTCAGCTACATATTTCATAATATAATTGTCTTATTGCTGCATATTACTCCTCATTACAGGTTGGAAAACATATTTTTTGTTCATTTAATTGTTTTTCAAAAACATTTAGCTACATATTTCATGGTATAATGATTTTGCAGCCGTTATTTTATTTCTTATTACAAATGGAAAAGCATGTTTTTTGATCATTTAATCATTTTTCACAAAAATTAAGCTGCGTATTTCATAACATAATTGATGCCACTTCTCTTTTCAGGTGGGAAAACGTGTCTCAACCGATTGGAAGGCTTACCCAGCCTTTCCGAGTCGTACTGGAGATTCTCAATCCTGATCCTGTCATACCATCCCACGTAGCCATCGACAATATCCGGCCTTTTGACTGTTATGACAGTAAGTAATTGATGCCACAATCCACCTCATCACTCAATGAGCTTTTCTGAAAAGTAATGTTTTGCATGATATCGGGTGAAAAGTTTGTGAAATTGTCAATAACATCTCCAGTGATAAATTGCACTTGTAAAACAGTGAGAGTTTACTTTGGGGGAGTATTGATTACTTTTAGGGTTCTATCGAGTGTTTTAATAAGTTTTGATAGATATCTGATGTTTAATTTGCATTGTTCGTTGCTGGCTTGGTCATGCATTGATTGCATTAGATTTACTAAGATATTTATAATTAATAACGTAAAACTTACGAATGCCTGTTTCGTATTTTCAACATCGATGATTGAATGAAACAATATTTATAGTTTAATTCTTAGAGTGATAGTATGTTTAAAGTTGGGATAAATTTATTTTCGAAAATTTAATATTAATGAGTTTATTGAATGAATGAAACTGCCATTCCGTTATTCATGGAGTGTACTTGATAGATATTTGATGTGGTGTTTTTTACAAATGCGGCAACAGTGTTAAATTAAAATTGATTTTAAGAATTTTTAAAAATTATTTATAAAAATAAGCTCGTAAATTGTCAATTAAAACAAATAAGGTATTTAATGAAATACACAATTTATAAATTATTCTTTTAAATATATAACATATATATTTTTACTCATTTTTTTAAGTACATAATTTTTAAACTATTATATTGCATAAATTATACCGGGGAACACTTTTTTGGGGGGGTTTCTGCAATTTTTTTTTATGTGAAGAAAAAACAAATCTTAGATACTTTCGTATCACTGTTTTTAAATCTGCAGCCTGCTTCTCTTTCCAGTCAACTTTTTTTTAAATAACATTTTTATTGTTGGAAGATACAAGTTTAACAAACTGATGCGTCAAACTACTGGGAGATGTAAAGTACGTGATCAGAATTAAAATTGTACAGGAATTTATGCCAGGAAATGGCGTCATACGCCACTAGAGGCATTTCCCCTATTATGAACGGTTTCTTCTCGTTCTTCTGAATATGTCTTAATATAGAATTGCTTTTAGCCGCTTACGGTAACTGTTCCTGTTCAATTTTAATCCTGACGATGCAGATCTCTAGAATTTTGTCACAACCCTTAGTTATGAATAACATTTCTAAACTTGTACATTTCTACGGAAAATAGACTAAAAATTTTGCGAAACAAATTTCAAATTTGAAATCCCTACACCATAATTGGAAAAGATCGAGTATTTCTATTAATGCAACAAAATATTTATTCCCATGTGTTATTTACAAGCTATATATTCTTTTGTATACACAAATTATTTCACATTCTTTTTTTCTTTTTTAAATTAGAGAGATCAGTATCAACAGACTGTGGTCCACGCCAATTCCAGTGTTATGATCTGATTTGCATAGATGCTTCTCAAGTGTGTGATACGGTTAGTGATTGTATAGATGGTGAAGATGAAGATCAAGGATGTGGTGAGATACATTTCAATATCACCCTCATTATGTACTTACCTGTTTTAATGGGGGAGTGTATAAAATGAACGCCACTTATGCCTAATTAATTGTGGAAATGGGATACCTGTAAGTGACGTAGTTTGGGTATTTTGATCCTGATTGGTTGTTGAAACGTGTCATTTGTTTACGTTAGCAACTGTTCTTTCCATTCTGTTTCGAGTAAGCCAAGCCCGTCAAGTATCAATTCTCTTAAGTGTCGCGTTCTATATTCTGTCACAAAGATTCTTTCACAAAAATTCCCTTACTATATGTTTACATAGAGACTTGACACAAAGACAGGCATGAGACCATGTGGAACATGAAGAAACTAACTATGCATCGAAGTTGCCAGGTTCACAAAACAAAAATATATCACGGTAACTATAAAATACATAAACAAATAATAATTATAAGTTAAGTTAAAGACGTATACGAGAAAGAATTATATTTCAACTAATATCTATGGATTAAGGAATGGGTCCGCTCTAGAAACGGGCAGTGACGTGTTTGTGGATAAAGTTATATTCTTGGTTATATATATCGTCACAGAAAAACAAGAAACGCACCCTCTGCTTTAAATTAGCTTGGTTTCACCAAACAGGCTTCCTAGCTATAGCAAGCGGCTCTAGACGCAACAACACAACTGTGATTTTTCTTTGTTCTGTTTTTCATCTTTTTTTCTCTCTCGATTTCTGTGGCTTTACTAGTTTTGTTTCGCATCTTTATTTTTTCCTTTTTGAGCTGTCAACTTAACATTTATTTATTTCAAATCATTTTTGTTTTCTTTATTTTCACGCCTGGCAAGTCTTGAAAATGCGCGCCTATTTTTGAAGTGCTTGAAAAATTACGAATATTATATCTTATTTGCTTAATTCTGAAGCAAATGAAATTTCTAATCAGGTAAAAACCTAACCTAATTCGAGACAGAGTCTCTAGTATGGAAAAATCAGCAGTAAGAAAAAATTGGCCGAATAGAAATAGATGCAGAGATATGTAACTGCATCCCTTTTAATGGCCTCATTTCATAGAATTTACCTTTTATTAATTTCATTTCAATTGAAATGCTTCTAATAAGTTTAGTCAATAAGTTAGTAAATAAATTGCCAAAAGAATTCTTGCAATGGCAAAACTATCGTTAGGTTCATGGAGATGAAATAGATTAATTTCTACTATCTCGATTTAGAAGCAACATAATTTAGAGCAATTAAACAGAGTCATCAAACTTACAAAACGTAAACACGTACTTTCTTTCAATAAACATATCACATAGTTTCTGTATGATGAATTTGGTTCCATCAAGTTAAAAGAAGGAGGTATTCTTTAATAAATAGCTGAAACACTGGGGCAATTCCACCATTTACGGATGTCATATTTGTGGACTTTAAATGTAGTAATTCAGTTGGAAAAGAAATCTAGCAGTTCTAAGAGTTTTCGCTAAAAACAACTCTTGGTGTAACATTTAGTCCAATTTTTATTAAATTTTAAAAATTTTTTAACATTTTTCTAAAACAATTAAAAATGTTGTTGTTATGAAAATAATATACTGTTATACATCCATTACACCTCATTTTTTGTTTTTAAATTTTTTTTTAAATCCATGAAAGTTATTAAAAATTGCTATGAATTCAAATGAAACCAAGAGTGACTTTAGCAAAATCATTAAACGGTTTAACAATTTCTAATTGAGTTACATGTTTTTAAAGCCTGTAAATATGACAATTGTAAATGATGGAATTGCCCATTAACATCATGAAATTGCGCAAAATAGTTTCTTTTCTTAAAATTATTTTTCAAGCATATGAACGATACTCAATGAATACTTAATTTATTTTATAAAACTCATTATGCCTTTCTACTAACGCTTTTAATTGTTTTTTGTAAATTTTACATTTTAAATGCATATTAAAGTTGGCAAAAACCACAAATAACGAAAAACTGTTACTTTTAAGGGTTTGTCGCATTTCAAAAAGGTATTTTTTGCTATTTTATTTTCCTTAAAATCGAACTTATAAAATATAATCATACACTTTTAATACATTAAATACCAGTCTTTTTATGTTTTTATAACATTTTTAAACCAGACTTCTTTTCTTTTTTTTTTTAAAAAAAAGAAAGAAATTATTCCTCTAAGCACTTTTTGGATCTTCAAGGATTTTTTCTTTTAAATCCTTGGTGAAGATACGAGTTAATCATCATACTCACCTCCGAGCGATATTATTGGACGATCTCTTGGAAAGCATTAGCACTATCATAATAGTAACAAAACTGTTTGAAAAAGATTAGAAACATCTGTCACAAATACGATTTTGATCATTTTGCTACGCTTTTATCTCATCTTCCTTGAGATCGTAAAAAGTATAATGTTTGGCAAGACATTGTAATGCGAGCTGTAGACATTTGTAAAAAATGTAATCTCTTGCAAATGCTGTTTCTTCAAAACATATGGAACTACTTTTGATTCTATAGTTAGATCAAAAATTAATATCTATAATAAAAAAATTAAGAGTTTGACCGTCTTATGACACCAGAACCGTTTGTGCTGGTGGGGATAGCCGAGTCGGTTGGACGCTGGACTTGCGTTCGTGAGAACTGGATTTCGAATACAGCTGGCCAAAGGGCAGTAAATGGTGACTGGTGCACATTAAACCAGTTGGGTCACAATTTCTTCTCTGTTTCCATAACAAATCATACTTCTGGGGTTACTGGATTGAAGATTGATCGTTTTGTGTTTCAGGTCACGATCTGTGGATGAATGAATAGATGTATGAATGGGCCCGCTTTACAAACGGGTATGACGTAAGGGTGTGGCAAAAGTCGAATTCTTGGCCATAGGAGAAAAACAAGAACATGCACCCCCAGTGCATTGATGGTCGACGACAACAACAACAACCGATTGTGCTAGCGCTCTGAAATGTGGACAGTGGACGAAAAGGGCTATTTTAATCCCCGATCCTAAAAATCGTCCGAAAATTTCATTTAGATCACACAGTTGAGACGTTTGAAAACGAAATTTTTTCGTTGATTTTGCCATTGACATTAATTAAACTGCAGGCGATTCTGTTTTATTAAATAGTTTAAAGATAACATCAGTAATGGCTGCTGTTTATAGCTATCATTAAACAAAAAAATCAGATCATTGAATGTTCTATTTTAAATATTGCATGTTTATATTTAATTATTTTTAATTCGTTATGCAAGATAAACTTAAAGGTCAAAGAGAACGCGTGATGGCACATGCAACGTCATGCGTATGATAGCTACGTCTCCAAATTAGTATTCCAAAAATTATCTGAAACCACCTTTTATTTTGCTTAAAGTTATGCTTTTAAACCTTGTTTCTATCAAACTAAGTCCCGCAGTGGACTGATCGTTAAGACACGGTTCCCAGCAGATCACCGAAGTCAAGCATCGCTGGCTGCGGTCAGTGTGCGGGTGGGTGACCACTTGGAACAGTCTGCGTAGGGACCGAGGGTGTGCGGTATTGGTCCTCGTTAAACTGTGCTACCGTAAAGTGATCGACTTCGCGCGCAGGTTGTCGGGCTACCAAACGGGGGTACCATCCCCTCCGCAGAGGATCAAAATTGTGATGGCATGTCTTCGGATCATCCTCCGGGATGTTTCCCAGACCGTCGCCAATAGCCCATTGTGCAGCTCTAGTGCGACGTAAATTAACAACAACAACAACAATCTATCAAACTAAATAATTTAAAATCAACGATAGTTGAAATAAAAAAAAAGTTATATCCTGATAAACAAAATTAATGATGAAATAGTACTAATTCGTTCAGGAAAAACTTAAGAAAATCGTCATACTTTTACTGACGCGAATGATGCTCGATTAATTTTGATAATATTTTCGAATTGGAACAAAAAAAATAAGCTATATATTAAATAGCAAAATTAATAGAGAAATGCTTTCTCGATTTATCATAAGATTTTTTTTGAAGAAGTGTTTTAAGGAAACAAACTTAAATATTTGGTTTTTATGGAAAATTGCAGTTGAATTGGACGTGAAAATTAGAAAGACCTTATTGTTTACTGAACTCCAAGTAAATGGCAGCTTTGACACAATATAAAAGCAAAACGCACTCCTGAATAAATCGTGTCAAAGTGTTTTAAAGTATTTTTGTGTGTGTTTTCAGGAATTTTAAGGACCGTTTTCAAAAACAATCCGTTTTAAATTTTCGTGAAGAGATGCTGTTGTAGTGAAAAATAATTAAAATATAATGGCATATTCTAGAGACTAGAGTTATTTTAAAAAGACAGAACTATGGAATAAGTTTAGCTTTTTAGCATAAATAAAAACTAAGTCTTTAAAGGTGTTACGCTAAGGAAAATTTACAGCCGGTAAATGGCGCTCCATTTTTAAAATCCACTCTAAAAAGTAAAATATATACATCTCAAATCGAAAATTATTGTTTCAATAAAATAAAAATGCAAAAATGTTATCAAAATTCAACGAATAATTATTGAGAAAAGCAGGATTTAAATCATTCAAATTAATTTAATTGATGGGAGAAACTGAAAGAGAGCTAAACGTAATTATTAAAAAAACTACAATTTCGCATGCAATAGAAAAGTTTTTATTGATTTTTATTTCAATTCCCCATTCCCTATAATGATTTGTCAGCCATATTTTTTTATGAAACATATTTTTCTTAATCAAATATGAATTTGCACCACAAATTTTTACTTAATGATTGAAAGATATTCTAGTATGGGATATTTTATATAAATTATTGCATACAGTATCAATTTCCTCAATAAGGTTAATGAAAATCGTTTACTTCTTGTATTTTTTTCTGTAGATAAAATTCCGAAGAGTGGATATTGTACTTTTGAAAATGATATGTGTGGGTGGACTACTACTTATACAGAAAACAGTGAATGGATTAGAAGAAAAGGTGAATCACCCAGTGACAGAACAGGACCCTCTTTTGATCATACGTTTCAAAATTCAACAGGTAAGGTGCAAAAACAGTCTTTTTTCAAAGTTAAAAGCTTTTATTTAAAATATAAAATCAATTCCTTAACATGAAAAATAGTACCTTCTTATTATCATATTTTTCAAAATTCAACAGGTGAGGTACAAAAAAATCCTAGCTGGAAGTCAAAAGTTTCATGCAAAATATAAAATCAATTCTGTAACATGTTCTGTAGTACCTTCATATGATCATACTTTTCAAAATTCAACAGGTGAGGTGCAAAAAAATCCTAGCTGGAAGTCAAAAGTTTCATGTAAAATATAAAATCAATTCTGTAACATGTTCAGTAGTACCTTCTTATGATCATACTTTTCAAAATTCAACAGGTGAGGTACAAAAAAAATCCTAGCTGGAAGTCAAAAGTTTCATGTAAAATATAAAATCAATTCTGTAACATGTTCAGTAGTACCTTCTTATGATCATACTTTTCAAAATTCAACAGGTGAGGTACAAAAAAATCCTAGCTGGAATTCAAAAGTTTCATGCAAAATATAAAATCAATTCTGTAACATGTTCTGTAGTACCTTCTTATGATCATACTTTTCAAAATTCAACAGGTGAGGTACAAAAAAATCCTACCTGGAAGTCAAAAGTTTCATGTAAAATATAAAATCAATTCTGTAACACGTTCTGTAGTACCTTCTTATGATCATACTTTTCAAACTTCAACAGGTGAGGTACAAAAAAATCCTAGCTGGAAGTCAAAAGCTTTCATGTAAAATATGAAATCAATTCTGTAACATGTTCTGTAGTACCTTCTTATGATCATACATTTCAAAATTCAACAGGTGAGGTACAAAAAAATCCTAGCTGGAAGTCAAAAGTTTCATGTAAAATATAAAATCAATTCTGTAACATGTTCTGTAGTACCTTCTTATGATCATACTTTTCAAAATTCAACAGGTGAGGTACAAAAAAACTCCTATCTCGAAATTCAAAGTTTCATGTGAAACATAAAAAAAATAAAATCAACTACTTAACATGAAAAACAGTGCCTTCGCATGATCATACTTTACAAAATTCAACAGGTGAAGAGCTTAAGTTATTCAATCTCAAAAATAAAAATTTTAAATAAAATTTTAAATCAATTCATTAACATTAAAAATGGTTATTAAAATTGTTTTTATTGTTCACTCTTCTTTTTGAGTAAATTAAAAAAGATTAAAATGAAAAAAAAAAATCCCTAAAAATCGGAAATAAACTAAACTTCACGGAAAAAAATCTTAAGAAAACAGGATTAATTGGGATTTGTTGATATTTTTTTTTATTTATTGAAACTTAAAAATCCTAACTAACTTAAAAAGTAGTTTCAATAACAAAAAATAAATAAATAAATAAACTTATGATTTGAAATAAAGCCTAATTTGTTATTCTTTTGCAGGCACATATCTTGTTAGCAAATTTCCGGCAGGAAAAACTGAATTTGGTGCTCAAACAACACTTCAAAGTCCATGGTTTTCGCCACCACCATACTATCATCGAAATGTACATTCTCAATTCTACAACAGTTGTCAAGTGAGTAGTCGGATTATGATAATAACAATAAATTATGATTAAAATAAAATATAATAATAATAAGAGAATATTATGATAATAACAAATAGGGATTATAATGAAATGATAATAATTAGTGAGGATTATGGTAATAACTATAAATGAGAATTAGAATAAAATATGATTAAAATAAGTGAAGATTATGATAATAAATAATAACTGAAGATTATGATAGTAAGTGAGGATTATGATAATAATAAGTGAGAATTATGAAAATAACAAATGAGTATTACAATAAAATATGATAATAAAAAGAGAGGACTATGACAGTAGCAAATAGTAAATAGTTGAATAGTAAATTTTAAATATTATAAGTGGATAGACAAAAGAAAATATCGACGTTCATAGTTTTCTGTAAAAAAAAAAGGTTAAAGATTCAGTTGAAGACGTATTAATTTACCGATATGAAACAAAACCAACTTTTACTCGTGAATTTAACATTAAGTGATGGACAAGATATTTTTATCTGGTAGAATCTCAAAATTATATGTTTGTATACTTATATTTTGTTTATTTTTAAATTAATTGTAACTGTTAATTGTATCTATTACACACAAATATAATGGTAAAAAACCTCTTATTTTTTTGAAATATTTAAATTGAACGAAATATTTAAAGGTTATTGAATAATATGAAGGTAATGAATGTAATATGAAGGCAATTGAATGAAATATTTAGAGTTTTTTTAAATTAAATGAAATATTTAAAAAAATCTCTTATTTTTTGATATATTTAAATTTGAAAAATTATCATGACTCTACTTCTAACTTTTATCAAATTATTTATGTCTTGATAAACCGAATAAATGGTTATTTTTTCGTGCTAAGATATTATTTCTAGTTTTAAATAAACTAAAAATAATTTTTAAAAAAACAAGAAATAAATTTATGTTCTTATATTTGAAGAACTTAATCTGTAAAACAACAATTTGGTAGGGAAAAGAACTTTTGGTTGGGAAAAGAAAACATGACGTAACAAAGTATTGGATAAATACCGGGAACTCTAAATCATACATAAGCTTTTAATTATCAAAGCTAAGCTAAACATGCTATATTTTGAATTTCCCTTAATAGAAAAAAAAGGACACAATTAAATAGAATTTATTTCTTTATTCACTATTCTTTCCAATTTAGGTTCGATTTTTCTTTCACAAATTTGGCAACAACATTGGACAACTGAGAGTTTTTGCCGAAGAAGCTTACCCCAGCAAAACAGCGACAAGGAGTACTGAAATACTTAGAAGTTACGGCAACAAAGGGAACCTTTGGAAAAAGGCCAATGTTTTTTTACCCAACATATCGAACGAGTAAGAAATTATTTTATGACTTAAATTAATATTGAATTTAAGAGTAAGCTAGTTCAAAATAAAATTTTGCCCAATTTTAAATTTAAGAAATAAAAAAGTTGCGTCTAAACAACAATTATTTTGCTCTATAATAAGTCAGTGATGCGAATATATAATATATCAAAACATATTAAAAACTTATAATTTTAAACAATCATTTTACATTATGATTTTGTATTACCTACGTAGTAGACATGAGGAAATGCAAAAGAAAAACAAAGTTAAGGTTTGGGAGCAACTCCTCTTCATTAAGAAATTATTTAAAAGATATCACTTGATTAAAAAATATACAAATTGGAAATAACAGTCGACATGGTTCAAACGCGCAAAAATAGAGGCCAATTTTCATGACATGACTTGTAGAGTGTAACTGAGAGGGAAGAAAGTAATTGGAAATATAAAAAGTCAAGTTGCCAATGAAAAATTGAAGTGAGAAACATTTCTAAAAAACCACAGTAGCCGAGAGAGAAAAAACAGAACAAGAATAACTACAGAGGCAGAGATGGTAAAATGAGTTTTCACACGCTTTGGAGACTATGAATGTTGATTCCCTTATTAACGACATTAGATCCACGCCACTTCTCTGTAATGAGTTGAAATGCATTTTATCCTGATTTAACCTTCTCTGCTACTCTGGTTTTTCTTGTTCTGTTTTTCATCTTTCTCTTTTTTGGTTACGGTTGTTTTTCTAGATTTGTTTCTCACCTTTATTTTTCAGTTTTTCGTTGAAAATTTTACGATTTTCATTTCAAATTGTTTTTGTTACTTGCTTTAAGGTTTGACAAGTCTTGAAAATGTGCGCCTATTTTTGTAGCGTTAGAAACATGTTGACTGAATTTTCACTATCACGTATGGCAATAAATGCTGTTAGAATTAGGCCAGTTAAATAATTCCTTGAAAAATAATCCTTGAAAATAAATACCTTGAGAATAACAACAGCGTAAAAATAAAATGAAAATTCCAATAAAAATTTATTTTAGTTTAATTTTTATTTCCAGAAAATTATGAAACCAATTCTTTCAATTTAAGTATTTGTAAAAGGAAATTGTAGTAGCTAAATTCAATGCAGAAAGTTTCGTAAAGTAATATCTTTATTATGTATTAATTTTAAACAGTAAGCAAGATAACGGAAAAGGCAATATAATTTTCTATTTTCGTGATATGTGGAAATATACTATCTGACCAATTATATCCCGACACCCAGTGATACTGATTCCTAATGTCCTGAGGCCTGTATTAATATAACTTCGATGACAGCCTGCTTTCGCTTGATCAGACTTTCCAACAGTTTTTGGATGTGTGGACATAGGAGTTAGCTTCCAGGCATCCTGCACAGTTAAAGTAACTTCTGGAAGAGAGAATGGTCGATTTAGCTGGCTTAGTTTGCGTTCTAATTCGTTCGAAATGAGATCTATGAAATTTAGATCGGGACTTCGAGAGGGCTACTCCAGTTCTTAACATCATATCCATACTTCCGACCGTGACCGAACAAGTCTCTGTGTATGAATGGAGCAGTTATTCAGCTTGAAAAGAAAGTTTCTAGAATTCATATCGGGGCTCTGAGAAGACCAGTTCAGTTTTGAGGACGCATTTTGTCAAACCATGCCTGCTCAACTCTCGATGTGAGAATGAGGCGGATATCCTACTTTGAAGACAACTTTATTGGGATTCAGATTAAGAAGACCACTGCAGTTTTGAGCACCCATTTCTTCAAACCATAGCTGCGCAAGTCTCGATGTTTGAATGAAACAGATATCCTTCTTTGAAGACAAGTTGGGATTCAGAATTGGGGCTCTAAGTAAGCCAGTCCAGTTTTGAGGACACATTTTGTCAAACCATGCCTGCGCAACTCTCGATGTGAGAATGAAGCGGATATCCTACTTTGAAGACAAGTTTATTGGGATTCAGATTAAGAAGACCACTACAGTTTTGAGCACCCATTTCTTCAAACCATAGCTGCGCAAGTCTCGATGTTTGAATGAAACAGATATCCTTCTTTGAAGACAACTTGGGATTCAGAATTGGGGCTCTAAGTAAGCCAGTCCAGTTTTGAGGACACATTTTGTCAAACCATGCCTACGCAACTCTCGATGTGAGAATGAAGCGGATATCCTACTTTGAAGACAAATTTATTGGGATTCAGATTAAGAAGACCACTACAGTTTTGAGCACCCATTTCTTCAAACCATAGCTGCGCAAGTCTCGATGTTTGAATGAAGCAGATATCCTTCTTTGAAGACAAGTTGGGATTCAGAATTGGGGCTCTAAGAAAGCCAGTCCAGTTTTGAGGACGCATTTTGTCAAACCATGCCTGCGCAACTTTCGATGCGAGAATGAAGCGGATATCCTACTTTGAAGACAAGTTTATTGGAATTCAGATTAAGAAGACCACGGCAGTTTTGAGCACCCATTTCTTCAAACCATGGCTGCGCAAGTCTCGATGTTTGAATGAAACAGATATCTTTCTTTGAAGACAAGTTGGGATTCAGAATTGAGGCTCTAGGAAAGCCAGTCCAGTTTTGAGGACGCATTTTGTCAAACCATGCCTGCGCAACTCTCGATGTGAGAATAAAGCGGATATCCTACTTTGAAGACAAGTTCATTGAGATTAAGATTAAGAAGACCACTGCAGTTTTGAGCACCCATTTCTTCAAACCATAGCTGCGCAAGTCTCGATGTTTGAATGAAGCAGATATCCTTCTTTGAAGACAAGTTGGGATTCAGAATTGGGGCTCTAAGAAAGCCAGTCCAGTTTTGAGGACGCATTTTGTCAAACCATGCCTGCGCAACTTTCGATGCGAGAATGAAGCGGATATCCTACTTTGAAGACAAGTTTATTGGAATTCAGATTAAGAAGACCACGGCAGTTTTGAGCACCCATTTCTTCAAACCATGGCTGCGCAAGTCTCGATGTTTGAATGAAACAGATATCTTTCTTTGAAGACAAGTTGGGATTCAGAATTGAGGCTCTAGGAAAGCCAGTCCAGTTTTGAGGACGCATTTTGTCAAACCATGCCTGCGCAACTCTCGATGTGAGAATAAAGCGGATATCCTACTTTGAAGACAAGTTCATTGAGATTAAGATTAAGAAGACCACTGCAGTTTTGAGCACCCATTTCTTCAAACCATGGCTGCGCAAGTCTCGAGGATTGAATGGAGCAGATGTCCTGTTAGAAGATAAATGAACATTCTTCGAAACATTTCTGTAACATTACGAGAGCAGCATTGCTCTGAATGTTCACATACATTTCAGAATTCATGTTTCCAATCACAGGAGCTAAGGCACAAAGGCCAAAACATCCCCACACCATGATGTTTCAGCTGGGTGTCCATATGCTGTTGGCCAAATAGTGTATGCTTATGAAATATCGTAAAAAATTTAAACACTTTGTATTAAGTCTTTTCCAAATTTTGTAAAGATTTAAAATGCAGCAGAAACACATTTTAACTATTTTGCGAAATGATTATTTCAACGAATCTATCTTTTTTACTTTCAGATTTCAACTACAATTTGTTGCAAGTCGTGGCATAGGAAATGGTGATATAGCCATTGATGATATTACACTGAGTCCTGAATGCTTTGGAATCGGTAAGAGTTTTCATTTAATGTTAAAACAAATTTGCTCCCCCGTCTTACTAAATGTTATCATTTTTCATCCTTATAATAATTATCGAGAGTCATTGAATTTTAAATTTTTGCTTTAGGAGTTCCAGAAAATGAATCCATCGTCCCATCCAGTAAGTAGTATTTTAGCTTTTAACGCATTAGCAAAAGTATAATTATTGCTTCTCCATATTAAAAAATTGTATAGTGATTGTTCAACTTTACGCTGCACATTGTTTTGCTTGACAAAAATTATAATGGTTGGAATCGTGGAGAAGGTGTATAGAAACGTAAGAAGCATTAAAAGATTTTAAACTTGCATAATTAGCGTTAAGAATTATTAAACCAAAAATTTGTACTAAGAACAATACTACACAGGACTCTCTTCAGTTTCGAAAAATGAAGCCACGGAGTAAAAATTCAAAGTGCTAAAAAGGGAATTTTAGTTGAGGATTTTGATGCTAAGTATTTAAAACATTTCGGTTTGTTCAAAAGTTATTGCACTTCAAATTGATTCTTTCTCACCACTTACTTTAAACCATTGTTTCTCAAACGGATTTACTCAAAGGACCAGAGAAATATTTCTGTGTTTTATCGCGAACCGGTAACATTAGTTATTTGGACTAATGGCACAATTTTTACTTATATAAAATTGTAGTACTTAAACTAAACAATTTTCTGACCAGTTTGTTTCTGATAATATATCCCACACTCTCTACAGGAAAAATATTTTGAGCCCATACCTATTTAAATATGAATAAAATTTATATTAATTCTAACACACAAATATTAATCCACGGACCAGCACCGGTTTTAAAACATATCCATAGATAAAGTGTTACTAGAGATAAATTCAATTTTTAATTAGAGGTAAATTCTGTTTTTAATCAGAGGTAAATTCAAGTTAAATTAAAGAATTAGTTTCTTTAAGTTTATATATTTTTATCTAATTATATATTTTTCTATCTAGTATTATTTTAACTTATAACTTATCTAATTAGATATTTTTTCTTATGTGGCACTATAAACTCAGATATTTCTCATTCTACTGTTCTATTGAAAAAGTCATAGTTATTATTAATTTTGTTAGGTTGTCTTCAATAATAATTTAGTTAATGTCAGAATGGTTAGTTATACGTTAGGTATTTATATAGATACATTTTGTAAGGTTGTCTTAAATAATAATTTAATTAATTTCAGAATAGTCAGTTATACGTTGAGGTTTTATTTAGATACATTTTGTATTTTTATAGAGACAAAAACTCAGTTACGAAGTAATTTAGATTTATTTTTTATCTTTTTAAAATGGCTGTAGAAATTTTAAGCATTAATGGTGCTATGGTGGTACCTCATACCAATTATTGATGACGAAGTTTGTCTTTTTCGAGCATTTGTGCAACACTGAAGTTATGGATCGAGAGGTGGGTTAGGAAGTAGTACAGCACGTAATGGAATATTGGGATGAGTTTTCTATCTTATCTCACGACAGAGGTGAAAATAATTTTATTATTTCTCGTACATATTATACAGAAATGTCCCTAACTCATACTTACTGTGGGTTGCGTAATTTAATGACTGCCGAATAGATTTTAAATTAATATTAAAATTAAATACATAAAGAACTTAGGCAATATCACGGTCACCTCATGAAAATAGCTAAAATTAAAATACTTCCGCAAAAGCAATACATATAATAGCGGGTAACAACTAGACGTTGAAAATACTTGATAAGTATAATGTTTAAAACTAATTAAGGAGTTAGGAGAAGGGGTTGAAGAATTAGAATATCTAAAAAGCATAGGCCGGCATAGCCTGGGGACTAGGCCCATGCCCTAGAGTTCGTGGGTTTGATCCCTGCCTGCCGACGACTCCCCGTATAGTTAATGGTGACTGATTAACGTTAAATCTGTCGAGTCGCAAAGTCCTCCACGTTCCCATAACAAATCAATACCTCTGGGGGTACTGATCCAGGAGTTTCCTTGTTATCTAGATTGGGTTCAAAATTACAAGGCTACGGAGTTGACCATTAGTAGCCGTAAACACAAAATTGGGTCGGGCGTTCAGGATAATTTTGAAAGGTGGTCAATCTGGTCTCCAAAAGCCGCTAAAACGATTATATTTATACCTAATTGGAAAAAAAAACTTAATTCATAATGGCTCTATATTTGATAATAATAAATATTTTAGTGATTAGTTTATTAAGTTTGCAGTATGATAATTTGATAATCTAAAACAGCCCTATTTTAGAAAAACACCAATATTTAATTTTAATTAAACATAAATAAACTTACAATTATTTTGCTTAAAGTAAACACACTATAAATTCTAAATAAATAAGTGTATTTTTTAAAACAAATTATAAATCCTCCCAATATACTATTTCAATTAAATTTACTTAATCTTACATTCATTCTGCAAAATAATATAAAGAAATAATATGAAAACATTTTTAAAAACTCCATTTTAAAACTTTCGAGTTTTCGAAAATAAATGTTTGCAAATAATTCTATTCCATAATAATTCGATTTCTTACTTGTAAAATTTATACTAAATAGTTACAATCTCAGCTCTTTACACAAATTTTTCTCTTACATTTTTACAGTATTAATCAAAGATAAGTTTCTACTAGTTAATGATAATTCCTCGAATCACCAATATTCCTTTTCTTTTGAAAACTAATTAAACAAATGATTAAACTATGTTTGCAAAGGTTAATATATGTTTTTATTGTTCGCATATAACTAATTTATTCAGATTGCTTAAAATGCATTGTTTTATTATATTTTTATTAAGTTACTTTCTTTCCCTCAAATAACATCAATTAATAGAACATCTACATTTATTGTATTTTCAATTTAAAGTGAGTAAATATGGAACTAAAATATTTGTGCTATAAGTGAAATAATTAATACAATATCAGAGTAACATATGTTTTTATGAGAGATTCTAATATACATCTTTGTCAAATAAATATGAATGACAGAACATATGCTTGCATTCCGTTTTGGAATATTTTCAATATTTTTCTAGAATCAACGTAATAATAAAAACTTTCTCGAAAAATAAAGCACACATGTTTAAATGTTTAATAGACGCGTAATTCGTTTTAAACTTTAAAAAATATTTATATTCTTTTATCAGTTTGTGTTTCATATTTTGGACCTTTTTTTGGCTTTACAAATTTCATTACTGAGTGATTTTCAATGCAACCCTTACATTTCCTAATTTTGTTTTGCTTGAAACTTCTTAATAGGTATATTAAAGTTATGTGCTAAATAGGTAGACCAAAACTTCTCTCAGATTTGACTGTTTTTCGAGTAATATGATTAGTACAATAAGATCAAAATAATTTAATAAATTAAAGAAGAAGGGATGAACTTTATGCTAATTAAATATACGCACTTAGTTATAGAGTGTGGTGTATAATTGAATGATATACCATAGCACCCAGTAGCTCCTATATTGTAATACACTCTATAACAAACAAATCGACGCACCAAAAAGCAATCATCCGATTGCTTCTTGGTGCCAGATTACAGTGGTGCATGGTTCGATCAGGCTGGAATGATGCCGACTGGGGACGCATAGTCTTTAGCGACGAATCCCGCTTCCAACTGTGTCCTGACGATCATCGAAGACGTGTTTGGAGACGCATAGGGCAGAGGGGGGATCCTGCCTTCACTATTGCACGCCACACCGGCCCTCAACAAAGCATTATGGTCTGGGGTGCCATTTCCTTTGACAGCGGGACCCCTTTGGTCGTCATTAGAGGTACACTTACTGCACAGCGGTACGTCGACGACATCCTAAGACCTATTTTGCTACTGTTCCTTTTGCAGCGCCCTGGACTGGTTTTTCAGCAGGTTTGCTATGAACTGTCTGCAAGCTTGTCAAAATCTTCCTTGGCCTGCCAGATCACCAGATCTCTCTCCCATCGAGCATGTCTGGGATATGATGGGAAGGCGATTGCATCTGGCACGAAATGTTGATGACCTCATTCGACAATTGGATCGAATTTGGCAGGATATACCGCAAGAGACCATCCGGGAGCTTTATTGGTCTATGCCACGCCATGTGGCAGCTTGTATCCAGGCTAGAGACGGATCAGCACCTTATTGAACTTGTTACTGTAACTCTGCAATAAATTATTCAATTGTTCTGAAATTTTACTAATTTACTATTCTATACATTGTCTTCCTATCCACCAATTTTTCGTTTCAATCGGACAACTCCTTCTTGGTGCGTCGATTTTTTTGTCATAGAGTGTATATTGTAAAATATTAATTTTTATGGCTGGAGATCACAAGCATTGCTATGCATATAATTAAAAAATTTTTTAAATAGTTATAGTGGCATAAAGAATAATTTACAAAACCAAAACAACGACTAGCGTAAAGGGAAAAGATTTTTTTTTAAAACGTTGTAAGTAAAAGAAGTAGGGATGAAATTTATGCTATTAAGTTAAGCACATTGATTTATGGACTGTGGTGCATAATTGAATGATATATCATAGCACTAAGTAGTTTATTTATTTTATAAAGGTCCTTATTTAATTTTATTTTGTAGCAGCCGATCCAATTTTTTAGTTTGCGACTACCACTATTCAATTCCCTAGCCTTTAATTTCGAACTAAATACAGAAAACAAGGGATCACCTTAATCAAGTATTAGTAGAAATTAGTATTCCTGGATGACTTTTTGATGGAACTGACTCACATTTGCTTTCAATGTTGAGGAGAACCACGGTTAGCCTGACCGCAAACGGACTCTAACCCATGATCCGTCTGAAACTAAGGATATTTTACGTCAGCACTGTGGTAGGTGCGAGTCGGGATTGGAATTCGTATCGACCAGCCATCTCTGAGGTTCAAACCTAGTTCACCCAATTGGACGGCAAGCGCTCTTTCCCCGGAACCACCACGGCTCCTAGCTTATATATTTTATTTTATAAATGGCATTGAACAGACCCAATTATGACTTTACGACTATCAATGTTCCACTTCTTCGCCTTGTAATTTTGAACCCAATCCAGAAGACAAAGGAACTCCTTAATCAAGTATTACGAGAAATTCGCCTTAAAGGAGGATTTTTTGATGGACCTTACCCGCATTTGCGTTACATAGAGAGGAAAACCACGAAAATTTTCTTTAATTATCCTTATGGCAATGGGACTCTAACCCATGATCTGTCTACCACTGAGGACAGTTTACGTCAGCACTGTGGTCGGTGCGAGTCAGGTGCGGAACTCGTATTGACCAGTTATCACTGGGATCAAACCCGGTTCACATCATTAGAAGGTGAACGCTATATCCCCTGAGCCACTTAATATATTGTAAAATATTAAATTTGATAGCTGGAGAACACAAGGATTTTTACGCACTTTCAAAAAATATTTTTCGGTGGCACAAAGAATCTTTACAACATCAATACAACAGCCAGCTTAAAGTGTAAAGATTATTTTCTACAATACTGTAAGTAAAAAAAGAAGGGGTGAATTTGTGTTTTTTTTTTAAATAAATGCGTTAATATATGAACTTTGCATAATTGAATGATGTACCATATCATTAAGTAGCTTAATCTCAAACATTACAGCAGAAATGAGAATTATTAATCAGGTGATTATTCAATATGGCTATCGAATCATATTTAGCCAACTGAAACCGCCAATCCTGATAACTAATGCACGGGTAATCTCGTGTCTGTAAGATAATGAATTGCTGCTGGATGTCGATTTCATCACTAGATATGAAACACATCAAAATTCAGACTCGATTTTAAATGTTTTGAAATTCCTAGACACAGATTTCAAACAACATGGGTTTTCATAAACACATTCGATAATATCTTTGATACTATATTCGATACTATCTGTATTATCAATTCAATATAGAATTCCATCTATTCATTAAAACAGTTTTGAGTAATGGTATTATATTATGAAAGATGATCCGATTGCATGATTAAGTACGGGAGTCAGGTTACCTGGGATTCGATAAAGAATATGAAACAAATTCTGCTCTTAACCACAATGCTGACATAAAATATCCACAATGGTAGGCAAATCATTGGTCAGAACCCCCTTGCCGTCCGGATAACCGAGAGAGGTTTTCGGAGTTTTTCCTTTCATGAAACGCAAAATGCTAGTTAGTTCAATAAAAAAAGTTCTCCTTGAAGGCTTGTTTGTCATAATGCTTGATACAGAAGTTCCTTTATCTTCAGGATTGGGTTCAAAATTATAAGCATATGGAGTTGAACATTGATAGTCCTTAACTCAAAATTTCGCCAGCTGGTTATAAAATAAAACTCTATATTTTAAGATGAGACGAATTTTATTAATTATATATGAAGTACGAAAAACTATGATTGACTAAATATTAATATTATTTTTGTCGTAAATTCCTCAAAAGTGTTGGTTGTTTCGTAATCATCGTTAATATCAACAATATCACAAATGTTTCTAAATTATAAAAAAATGAAGCAAAGAAAGATCGACTTAATGAGATCGCAAATTAATATTTAAATGAGTTAAAAAACAAAAATACTGTAAAACTATATCGAATCATGTTTGACTGCTGGATTAACCTTGGAGGTGTTTCTAGCAATCGCCTTTGAAATACTCTTTACTTCTTTTGGCAATCGTGATGTTTGCCGTGTTAGTTCCGCTTTCCTCAGTAGTAATTACCCTCCTAATGGGTGTATATTTTTTTTACTTCATTTTTGTCGAGGATTCTAAAACTATATACAGAGTGTTCTAAAATTCGACTGACAAAGAGCGAGATTGATAGAGATAAATTCAGAGAGGTGACGAACACAGCAAGAGGATGAAAACTTACCATTGTACTAGAGGTAGCAAACCCAATTGAGAAGGTGAAAATTGCGAAAAACGTTGGCAAGTTTTGAATCCGGAGGAGATAAAAAAGTAAAAGCCTCCTGAATTTTGCCTTACCTAAATGAAGTGCTTGTATGCTATGTCCGAAGAACCGTTTTTACGTCGTTGTAGACTGTGCAATGACGCCGACGGATGCCACTAATCATATGATTCGAATAATTCATCACGTATATTTTTAGTTCGTACATTTGCAGTATCTTTTGCATATGCAAAAGCACATGGAGTAGAGCATGCCTTTGAATTGTTTTTGCCCCGTTGTAGACCATAAAATGCGTCATGGGGTGCAACTAACTTTAAAAATTATTAATTATATAAAGGAAGTTTGTTGTATCCTTTCTGGCAATTTTCCCTCGTCACGTCGAAACCTGTATGGTTTTTTAACGATATTTAACCTACCTTATTTTATCTTCCGTCTGAGCTTGCCGATTGAATTCTTTCAATGATTACAAAACAATCTGTAAAGAAGCAAAAAATAAATCCATAAATTAGAGATAATTCTGAATCACACAGAAATTGAACCATAAAGTAAATATTTTCCTTGTAAAATTATCACACACATCTTTAAGAATAATATGAGAATTACGTTAAACTATCAGATGGCGCTGATATTACACCGAAGAACCATTGCATTATGACCACCCTGCTAATAACATGTAGGACCACCTTTAGCCCTCAAATCTGCTAGCACCTGCCGTGACATTGATTCCACAAGGTGCTGATAGGTAGTCTGAGGTATCTGGTACCAAGAGGTCTCCAACTGGTCCTGCAATTCCCTCACATTGCGAGGGGGTAGCGTGGCAGCACGAGTTTGGTTTTCCAAGTAGGACCACAAATGCTCTATTGGATTAAGGTCAGGTGAATTTCAGGGCCAAGACATGACTTGAAAGTCACTGGAATGTTCCTCGAACCAATCCATGACGATTCGACCCTTATGACATGGTGCATTATCCTGTTGGTAAACACCATCCCCCGTAGGAAAAACTGTTGCCATGAATGGGTGAACCTGGCCTGCAACTATGTTCAAGTAGCTTACAGACGTCAGGGATTGTTCTATGAGGATTATGGGTCCTAATGTGCCCCATGAAAACATTGTTCCTGGGCGAGAAACCATGAAAACCTGGGCGAGCCCATTGTTATAGATGGAGGGTGGTCATAATGTAATGGCTCTTCTGTGTATATCACAATGTCGAGAGGGTGAGGGAGATTTCTATAAAAAATGGTAGCAAAGAACAAAATTTTTTACAAGTGTTCTATACGCCACTCACTGCCATAATCAAATAGTTATGATACAGAGGACGTATACGTCCTCTGTGTCATAACTATAACTGTTTCATAACTATATTTGATTATGGATAATAATCTAAGGATGATAATCTACTCTGGATCATTTTTCACAAGGTAGAACTATCAGCAGCCTGGAATGTGGGCTTACATAAACAGAAGTATCCGAGAAACTTGGAACTGCTCGAACTGTCACTTCTATGCTTTAGAAACGATTCCAAGATGACGGGAATATCAGTAAACGTTACAATACCAGTTGCTTCCGAGTTACAACGCCGTTTGAAGATACTTGGCAGTAACTGCCAAAAGAAGCAGACTAAGCACAGTATCCGAACTGTCTCGTTAGCTTTTTGCAGCCACGGGTGCTTCAGTTTCAAGGCACAACGTGCGCAGACGTTAGGGAAACATTGGTCTACATACTCATAAGCCTGTCAGATGTGCTCACGACAACTCACTATCGTAAGTGATTAGCCTGGATTAAAGAACAGGAAACGTGTACAACGTCACAATGGGCTTGTGTGATGTTTTCCGACGAGTCTAGTTTCAGTCTGATTCACGTCGGACTTTCATATGGAAAACTCCAGGTACCCGTTACAAACAAGATTCATTCAAATTTATCGGGCTTCATTTTTCAACAACGTGTGTGTTTGTTTAAGGGTGCCATGGACGCAGAATTTGTATTTATGGATGGCAACACTCATTAATCGTAAACGAAAATCTTCTATCGGAAGATATCATCCATATGGAATGGCCAGCATTCTCACCTGATTTGAATCCGATAGGGGATATCTAGAACATGATTGATCAGTTTAATAATTTCATATTCAGAATGAATAGGTGTTGTATGGACTTACTTTTCATCGCATGGGTAACATACATTGTATTAACCATCATACTAACCGCCTACTATTAAGTTTTTGTAAAGAGGGTATCTTAAAAATTACTCCAGGGAGCAAAAATATTAGTTTTTATGAATACATCGACACCTTCCTTTTTTGTTCTTCATCTTTTGTTTAATAAATGAGCTTCATGAATAAGTCAAGTTTGTTTTGTTTCTGAACATTTATTAACCGTGGCTGTCTTTTTCCAGTATTTATGAACAGGAATTTAAAAGGCAAAAATGAAGCCAAAAAAACGAAGATTTTTTTTGTAAAATATTAAATTTATTTCAGCTACACTATAAATAATTTTGATGCATAGTTGCCACCACTTTTGGTATTGAGGTAAACTAAATACATTTTAAAGCACAAAACTGCAATTATTAGGCAAAAAGTATGTAAAATTTACGAAATAACAATTGTTTGAAAGAATTAGCACGAATATTTTACCAAAACTCCGTTTTTTAATTATATCAAATTTACATACTTAAGCATCATAATTGACATTTTAATTATTTAAAATTAGCTGTTTAATTACAAAAAATTTACAAAAAATGTATTGTTTCTAAGAATTAATGCGAATATTTTACTAAAAATTTGCTTTCTTTTTAACGGAAACGCTTTTGCATTGAAGCCATTAAATTGATTCTAATGTGCCTTTATTATTAGCCATTAAAATTTGTGTTGTTAATAAACAAACAAAAAAAATGAATTAATTAATAAATTAAACTATAACAATGTAAAAATAAATTAAGAATGTGACTATATGCACTGTAAAAAAAATTTAGTCTACTTTAACGCCAAAAGTAGTGGCAACTATGCACCAGAATTTCTTACAGTGTAGTTAAAGACAAAAAATAAAATAATAAATAAAGAATTGATTCGACTACATACATTTTTTGTTTTAATTCCAGCTACGATGGAAAGTTCTACAAAAGAAGCTTTCTACGTCAGAAGTGAGTGTTTTTCCTGTTTACGGCAATCTTTTAAAAAAAAGTTATTATCACTTGCAAACTCCTACTTTATAAATCCTTTGAGACGAGTAGAGAATCTTCTTTGGTTTATATATATTTGTTTGCTATACTTTTTGATAAAACAAAAGTATTTCCACCACTGATTTCTTCTTTATTTTTTGTAGTAAAAGTTGCGAGACTCGGAAATATTTGAAAAAAAGTTTATCCTGAAGCTTTAATCCTACTAAAAAGAAAGAAACAAATGAAATATTACTGCTAAAACCACGTCTCTTAAAATTGACGGAAATGATTGAGCATATGGGAATCTTTATTGGCACTATTTGTTCTCTCAAACTTATTGTGCTAATAAAAAGTCTTCGCTTGTAAAAAGTGCTAGTAAAAGTATTAGAATTTTATTAATCGTATTTTTTATATTAATTTGAATGGAATATTTGAAATGTGTTACATTGTTAATATTGTTAAAACGTAAACACATTGTTAATACGAAAATGTGCTTGGCTGTTAATGTGTTACATTGTTATCAGGCAGCTAAAAGAATATTTAATAAAACCATGGCCATGTTTTGAAAAATGCTAAAGATTTAGAACATGTTAGCGGTAGCTATAAAAACAACTTGTTTTATGAATGAAAACGATTTAGAAAGGGAGAGTTTCGTTACGTGGAGACAGAGGAGCAAACTCCAACTTTTAAAATGTAAATGATTCTTCGATTTTTGACTTACATTCAACGATTTATTTCATGATTTCTACGCATTATTTCCACCTAATATTCCTATTAAATAATTATGTATGAAAAGCAGTTAAATAACATAAGAGATAAAAATCTTACCAAAAAACTAAATTCGATCGTGATTACCGAGAACTTAAGAAGCATTCTTACTGTATTTGTCTTGACCGTTTTACCTACATTTCCCCAATCAGATTCTCATTTTTCCAAATGCATACTCAAAAAGAATTTTCAATAAGATTATTAAGTTACAATAAAAAAGACAGTTCACCAAAGCGCTAGAAAATATATTAAAATTTATTCTTAAAACATTTTACTACACACAGAATCATTTGCTTACAAAAAAAATTAAATTAAATTAAAACTAAAAGGAGGAAACTTTTGAGTATCGTCATTTTCCTGTCTAAGAATAAACTGATTAAACTTTTTAACTCTTTTTAAGTACGGCAATTGTTGTAACTATATCAATGATTTGGAGCTCTCTCCCTTAACTTCATGTTAGGGAACTCGTTTAATATATTTCCCTTATTAAGGAATTTAGATAATGTGATCTGCATGCATATAAATATAAATTACGAAATTAATTCGGCACAATATACTTCGATATATAGATAAATAAAATTTTCACTTGAACTATGTTTCTAAGAATTTTTATCCCTTATGTGAACATCATTTAATGAGCGTTACATAACACTTCAATTCTTAGAATATATGTTGAACACTTGTGGAGCACAGGGACGATTAGGACCAAATGAAACACTCTGCTTGAACGCCTATCACAGATCAACGACAAAAGTAACAGTGATGTCAGAAACAACGCTGGACGGTATTCAGAAATGGATTGTGCCTGAAAGTGGAATATATACGTAAGCAAACTTTAGAATTTATTTTTGTTTAGTTTTTTTCGTATTATTTTAATAAGTTGAAGGAACTATAACTTTGAAAGGTATAATTAAGCCTTATATAAAGTATCAAATGATATTTTTTTTTAAAAAATCACGTTTTTGAAGAGATCCAAAAAGGAGAAATTAATTATATTTTTTTGTCACTCCTCAAACAAACGACTTCTCAGAATGAAATATATGCGTAAACAATCTTTAGAATATATTTTCGTTCAGTTTCATTAAAGCTCTTTTAATAAGCCTGAAAACTATATTTTTGAAAGGCACTATTGAGCCTAATATAAATTAGGAAATAAAAAATAATTACGTTTTTTAATTGAATAAAGAAGAGAAAATAATTACTTTTTTGTCACTCTTCAAACGAAAATTTCCTGATAATAGAATATATACATAAGCAATCTTTAGAATTCGTTATTCTCTAGTTTCATTTGTATTTTTTAATGAGTTTACGAAACAATCACTTTGAGCGACATAATTAAGCCTTATATAAATCATCAAATGAAATTAAAAATAAATAAAAAAAATAAAATAGCGTTTTAGAAGTAGACCAAGTAGGAAAAAATAATTTTATATTTGTTATTACTCAAACGAAAATCTCCTGATATTGGAATATATACGGAAACATTCTTTAGAAATTATTTTTGCTTAGTATCATGCTAGTTCTTTTAATGAGTTTAAAAAGCTGCAACTTTGAGATGCGTAACTAAACATTATATAAATTATTAAATGAAACTAAAAGTGAAGAAATATTTTAAAAATTATCGATTATTATAAAATATTATTTTATTATTAAATATTATTTTATTATTAAATATAATTTTATTATTAAATATTATTTTATTATTAAATATTTTTTTATTATTAAATATTATTTTATTATTAAATATTATTGTATTACTAAATATTATTTTATTATTAAATATTATTTTATTGCTAAATATTATTTTATTATTAAATATTATTTTATTATTAAATATTATTTAATTTTATCAAATACAATTAAAAGTAAATAAATAAAATCATGTTTCTGAAGTGAGCCAAAAACAAATAATTATATTTTTATCACTCCCTAAACAAAACAACTCTTGAGAATGGAATATAGACGTAAGCAATCTTTATAACATACTTTTGTTTAGTTTTATTCGGATTATTTTAAGGAGTTTAAAAAAACATTCAATTTGAGAGGCATAAATAAGTCTTAAATAAATTATCAAATATAATTAAAAGCAAATAAATAAAATTACGTTTTTGAAGTGGACTAAAATGAAGAAAATAATTACATTTTAGTCAGTCCTCAAATAAAAACTTCTGAGATAGGATTATATACGTAAGCAATCTTTAGAAATTATTTCTGATTAGTATCATTCGAATTCTTTGCATGACTTAAAAAAAAACGATTAACTTGAGAGGGATATTTAATTCTTATAAAAATTACCTACTAAAATTAGAAGAAAATAAATAAACGAAATTACGTTTGTGAGGTGGGCCAAAAGGAAAAAAAAAATTACATTTTTGTCGTTCCTCAACCGAAAAATTCTTGAGATAGGATAATGATTATGTACGTATTCAATCTTCAGAAACTATTTTTGATTACTATCAGTCAAATTCTTTTATAATGAGTTTAAGAAACTAGAACTTTGATATCCATAATTATGCCTTAAATAAATCATCAAATAAAATTGAAATTAAATAAATCATCAAATAAAATTTTTTATTAATTGTTTTTTATTTTCTTATAAAATTATTAACCGTAAGGTTATTTTTAAATTTTCAAACAAAATTATTAATAATGTTTGCGTCAATTCGTCGTAGTGACAATTCGTAGTGCATAATTTGTCGTGGGACAATCTACCGTGAGCACAATTTATCGAAGCAGCAATTTTTCGTGGGCCCAATTCATTGCAACAATAATTCATCGTAAGCACAATTGTGTCCACGATGAATTATCGTTGGACGAATTGTTGGATAGCTTGGGACGAATTGTACTTAAAACGAATTGTTCCCACAACCGATTGGAACTGAAGAGTCGTCGCGACGAATTGTGTCTACGACGAACTGTCACCAGATGAATTGTGCGCAACGAGTTGTCCCGCGACGAATTGACACGACACGGTTGATAATCATCATGCAAAATATTCAACATACAAAATCATTCATCATTATCATTCAAATACCATTGTGAATTTTTAACGAAATAATCAACATTTAAAATCATTTATAATTATCATATAAACAATATATAAAGTTTTAGTTAGTTTTAATGAAGTCGATAATAAAATTACCGAATTAAAACCAATACTTAAAAATATTTAATCCATATTTAAAAAAGAATAGTGATTGCTTAAAAGCTGATTAACTGTAAAGTTATTTTTTACTTTGATAGAATTCAAATATTTTTATATAAAATGTATGTTTTTAATCTTCTAGTTAAAGGAAAAGGAAAATACATTTTTATCTTCTTTTTTTTGTTGCTCTATTGTAAATATTTAAAAAAAGCAATATTTTATTCATGGTTGCATGCGCTTATCTTTAAACAAATATAAACAAAACCGTGTGTATATATTTATGAAAAGAAACAGTTTTTATGTCGAAACGTATCTCAGAGGATTTGCTTTTACGGAAAGTTTCGAGGAAAATTACCAATGGCTAGTTTTTATTCTTATAATCCTAAATAAATTAATTATGATTTAATTTATTTTAAAAGAAAAAATTAAATAGACCTTTCCGCAACCTTTGTCTAATTCGTTATAATTAACGATAGATTTTTTTGTTTTTGAACTGAAAATTAATAATAAATAATGGACAATGATAATTACTGTTGTATTATTTATTTAAGCTAGAGAATGACTTTGTTATTTTATTATTTTTCTTTTTCGTTTAAAATTTTTCTGCTTGATTATTTTTTTTTTGATGAATTTTCATGAGACATTAAATAGCATAAAAAATGCAAAGTTTTAATGCAATATTGAGTAAATAAATACAATATTTATTTGAATTATAAAAATGTTAAAAGCATAGTCTATATAAATGAAACCAAGAAAATTATGACACTAAAAACTTTGATAATGAAACTAAATTTCCATAATAATAAGACTGAACTTAAGTTAACTAAATACTGATGACAATAAAACAGTTATTTTCTAAACTAAATACTCCAAACAAAGAAAATGTAACTTCAATTAAGATAAATAACTACAAAAACTAAATTTTTTATTTAAAAACTCGATAATCAAAGCAAAAATTTTCATTCGCAAAACTAAATAACCATAACAATGACATCCTTATTTAAAAAACTAAATAACCATAACAATGAAATTTTGATTTAGAAAGCTTAATAAAGATAGATATAACATTTTAATTAGCAAAACCAAAAAATCATAACAATGAAGCAATTAATACTTAAACCAATTAAACAATTGCAGGTCAAAAAACAATACAACTTGAACTTGTCTAATTGAATGCATATAACAATTAAATTATCGTTTGTTAAACTAAAAAATAAATGTAATTAGTTCTACTTTAAGAAACTACGTATCAATTAACAATGCTTTATTCTAGTCAAAATGCTTAACGTTAATTAAATTTTAATTTGCTGAACTAAATAATCGCAACAATGAAACAATTAATACTTAAAACAATGAAACTATTGCAGCTCAAAAAACAATATAACTTTAACTTGTTAAATTGAATACATATTACAATAAAACTATCGTTTGATTAACTAAAAAATAAACTTAAATAGTTCTACTTTTAAAAAAAATTACATATTAATTACCATTGCTTTACATTAGTCAAAGTGCTTAACGTTAGTCAAATTTTTATTTGCTAAACTAAATTACCACATCAATGAAGAAATTAAAACTCAAAACAATGAAACTATTGCAGCTCAAAAAACTATACAACTTTAGCTTATTTAATTGAATACATATAACAATAAAACTATCGTTCGGTTAACGGAAAAATAAATGTGACTTGTTCTACTTTAAAGAAACTACGCATTAATTACCATTGCTTTACAAAATAATAAAGCTATCAGAATATAAAAGCACGAATTGCCCAGTGGTTTTTATTGAATTTAATATTGCAAGAAATAAAAAAAACTATATCATTCTTAACGAATTATTATAAAAAATATGGCGGAAATAATAATTTATGAAGTATTTCTCTCCTTAAATTTCGAAATTTTTTGTAACACGTTTTATTATGCTAATTTAAGTTTTTGTTACATACATCTTAAGGAGAAAGTCTAATTCCTAATTATTTCTTCCTTCTTATAACCAACCACCTCTTCCCAACTACAGTTACATACCCTCGAGACATTCGAAAGAGGTGGTTTCTGTGAATTTTAATTAGCTTATAGCTTCAAAGTTTCGTGGGTGAGGCGCTTTTAAATTCGAAGGGAAAATGCTATATACTATGATAACAGATGAGTTATTAAGGTCATTAAAATGCGAGGAAGTGTACTTTCACTTCCTCCTTTTCACATTTATTTCCCATTTAAAATTTTTCTCTTTTCTCTGCGTCTCTTCACAGCTTTCTCCTTTGGGTTATGTAGTCGAAATCACAATTCGACAGGGGAAAATGTATTTGAAAAGGATGGTAATGAGATAACTGCATAATGTACATACAATTGCTGTTAATAGTTTATATTTTAGTTACATGATAGCTATTAATAATTTAGTTAATTAATTTTTTTTCTGTTGCGCTATTTGATTAGGATTGATAACGGATAGGATTGAAAATGAGAAACTAAATTAATTAGCATAGTTCCAATAAATGTAATTCCGAGTTTCTAGCATTAATGGTTGAAAAGAAATTGTAAATTTTCTAAATTACCCTTACAAACATTTATGGCGTTTTTGAGGTTTATTTGAGTTCGTTTTGAAATGTCAAGGTTGATTTAAGGTTTATTTAAAGTTGACTTTAAAAATAACCTTAAAAGATCTACCTCTAAAGGTGAATAATCAAGGTGTATGAAGTTGTTTTATTCACTCTTGAGGTAGTTGGAAATCTAGTTTATAAAAACCAGCTTAGAGAGATTATTTCTGAGGTGGACAGGCTACCTTTTCTACATTTCAAGAGAATAAGTATTTTTGAGGAGTGAAAACTTTTCCTCAATCTCAACTAAGAGTATTGCCGAGTTATATATGAGGATAATTTTATGAGGTGTAAATGAGTGTGAAATTGAGGTTTATTAATGAGGCTATTTTTGGTTCAAAACATTACCTCATTTTCTTCCATACGTGTATTTTCTTACCTCTGTCTACCTCTAAACACCTTATTTTTATGTAAGGGTACAGCACTATCTACACATTGCAACTTTAGTATGGTTTAACCTCTTCAAATCTGTGACCATCATATGTGATCGCATAATCATCCTTTCATGGCCCACGATATCATAGATAAAACAAGGCTTCCTGACTCTTGCGGCTCATGTGATCTCAATGCTGGTTGATCACACAGATGAGATCTCAATACGGTACTCTAGTATACTATAGTACTATGTATTCTTTAGTACGTACATACTTGCGGTGTATGCGGGCCTGGGAAAGCATTTCTTTCTTAATCTGCCGGTCGTGAAGGTGTTCACCCTTACAAAAAAGTAAGGTGTTATTGAGGTTGTTTTGATGCGTTAAAGTTGATTTCAGATTTATTTGAAGTTGACTTAAAAATCAACCTCCCAATGTTTATCATCAAGGCGTATGAAATTTTTTTATTCACATATGAGGTTGTTTTGAGGTTGATAGAAATCTTCCTTAGAGCAACCAGCTTAGAGAGGTTGTTTTCGCTGACAGTGATGGAAAGGTTTTTATTTTTTCGATTGTTCTACTCTTCCCACCAGTAAGTACAGTATATGAGGTGTGGATAATTTCACTCGATTTCCACTGAAAGTATTATTGAGGTACATATGAAATTGATTTTATGAATTACAAATGAGGTTGAAATTGTGGTTTATTGATGAGGTTAATTTATCAACCAAACAGAACCTCATTTTCTATCTACCTCAGTTGTATTCTTTTACATCCGAAAACAGCAAAAACACCTTATTTTCTTCTAAGGAAAATTATTTACTTTCTTTCAAAATTATTTTTTAGTAATTCATGTAAAATATTAGTTAGTGTAATAATGTATGTTTGTTGATTATTAGCATCCACCTCGTATTTTTATAAACCGCTTCTGCGTTAAAATTTACTCATCTTATTATTACTTAATACAAAATTTCAGTAAGATTATATTTATTTTTATAAAATTTTTAGGCTGTTTGTCAGAGGGGCAGGTGGAGGTCAAGGCATTGCCAACTCAGGTAAGAGCCTAGGCGCTTCGTTAAGAGCTGGATTTGATTGGGAGAAAGGAGATCTCATCTACTTTCTTGTAGGCCAAAAAGGAATCGATGCTTGTGGAAATGTAAGTGTAGTTTAGATTCTTCACAAACACATATGACGATGTAACTTGTGTATCGCCTAATTAGTTATTACAGGGGATAGAGTGTTCGCCTTCCAATAAGGGGAGCCGGGTTCGAATCCCAGTGATGGCTGGTCGAAGCGAATTCCGCATCCGGCTTACACCGACCACAGTGCTGACGGAAAATATCATCAGTGGTAGACAGATCATGGGTTATAGTTTCCTTGCAGTCAGACTAACCGTAGGAGGTTCTTGTGGTCTTCCTTTCCATGTAACATTTGCACCAGCACTTGTGCTTGATAGAGATAAAAACCACGAAACCCTCCCACAGTTAGCCTGATGACAAGGAGACTCTAACCCGTGATCTGTCAACCTCTGAGGATATTTTACGTCAGCACTGTGATCGGTGCGAGTCGGGTGCAAAATTCGAATCAACCAGCCATTGCAGGGATTCGAACCTAGTTCACCTCATTGGGAGGAGAGTGTTCTATTTCATAAGTATAGACCAAAAATATCCAGTATTGCTTACTTGACCCTTTTTCTCTCCCTTTCTTCGTTGCACACTCGTATACGATATTAAACACCACGTCTATGATGTGTAATAAACGGAACTATACTGGAACTATAATAGTAAAAGATATAATGATAGCTATACAGTGGGAGTGATATTTGGAGTTATAGTTGCAGCTAAAGTGGAAGTTATAGTGGGAGCAATAGTAGGATTACAGTGTTAACTATAGTGGGGCTATAGAGTGATTAATAGCCTGAGCTATAGTGGTAACTATAGTGGAAGTTATAGAAGAAGCTATATAGGAAATAAAAGAAGCTGAAATGGAAATTATGTGAAGGATTATATAACATTCTTAAAATTTGTAAAACGAGCTATATTGCTCTTTAAAATAGATGGACACCTATATCCCTTTTTTATAGATATATATTTTGGCATTTTAATTGCAGGCAAAAGTATTTTTTAGTATTTTTCAATTATATAAGACCGTCGAATAGTTACTGAAAATTCTGTTTAATTGTCGGTATTGTATTTGTATTAAAATATGAAATCCAAGTAGAGTAGTTTGAATTTTTTTTCGTTCATATTCAAAATTTTATCAATAATTGATTTTGAAAATTAAAAAAATTTGAATGATAAATATCTGCTTCTCTTAGATATTAAAAACTGCAAATAAGAACAAATTTGTGAAGTTATTGTTGAGAAGTGAGCCGTGTTAGGAAGAGTTTACTTTTAACGCAGAAAAATACACCCGTGTTCCAGGCTGTATTTCGCAACCATAAATTATTAGAGTGAGAAATACAATATTTTTTGCTTATTTTGAACTAAATTAATATAAAATATGAAAAAAAATTGAAAAATATGTCTAATTAAAGTTTTTTCATCTTTCTCAAGAGCATAAACAATTTAATAATAACCGCAAAAGTTTGTTATCAGTTGTAAAATATACCCCGTGTTTCTATGCATCCTTTTTTTCATTTGTAATTTGTGTTTACCAATACTTATTAGCAAATATTTTTATTTTCAGGTTCGAGGAGGTTGTGACACAAGGTTAATGAGGAGAAGTATTTCTAAACTGAGGGACATGAACAATAAGAGAAGAGAGGGAGGTGGGGGTGGTGGAGGTGGCGCCACTTACATTTTTAAGGTTAGTTATTTTAATAGAACTTTAACTACTTTTGGTTTTGGCTTCTATTATATCGTCTGAAGATGCCATACCACCTACTGTAGTTTTAATGTGATGGCATCTTCCAAAGTAAAATGGCAACAAAATTTGTGATTTCCTGCCATTTGAAAAGCAATTTTTAATTTATTTAGTTTATAGAAGTTGTGTTATTCTGTGAAACCATAAACAAATTAAAGCGTCTTAGAAACAAAATTCAGTGATTCAGCCTGGCACTGAACTTTATAGTTGGTACATATAGATCATCGGTACATATAGTTGTTACATCGTTGTTACATCGGTGCATATAGTTGTTACATCGGTACATATAGTTGTTATCATCGACAATCATCGATTATTAACGGAAATTATTATCTCAAAATTTCTGGTGAAACCGATTTCTTCTCAGTGTAATTCTAAAGGTCATCAAGCATATTTTATTAAATTTTAAAACTGTTCGAATCATGTGAAAGAATAGTATGGGGGCTCATTTGGCAAGCCCAAATTCAATTCTGGTTAATTTAATTTCTGACGATATTTAAACTTCTTTTGCTCTGAGTTTTTTTATAATCAATTGTGTTAATTGTCACATAGTAATAAGTTAAGCTTCTTATAAAATTCGTATTCTGTATTGGGCCGATATTGGCTGAATAATAGTTATAAAATACCGGGTGAATCTGGCATTTCCACATAGGGTCAAAAATGCGAGTTCTCAATCATTTGATTTTGATTAAAATGCCGCCTCACCCGTGTGTTTTTTAAATTGCTGATCTGCTTTAAAACTGTTTGCTCAGTATGATGGAATGGTACAGGGGTTAGTGCATTCTAAGATTAAGTAAGCTTTTTGAATCCGAATTTTGGTGATGATAGAAAACTCTTTCGTTTATACTTATTATATTTTAAGTTAAATTTACTAAATAATTAGGTTAATTGACCTATAGCATTTATGCTAATACTTAATACATCCAAACTTTCAATTTCCTCAATTTAACAAAATATTTCCTCGGAGATTTTGAACGAAACAGTTTCGTCAAAAAATAAAGAAAATTCCGTCTGTTTATTTTTTCACAGCATAGATTACACTAGGGAACACATCTTGCAAAAACTTGATATTGTTTTATTCGGAAGTGGGGATTTGAAATCTGAAACTAATTTTGCTCTTAAAGCTGAGATTAGAATGACATTTTAAAATGACATTTTCAGTCTATTTTTTGTCTAAATGTACAAATTTAAAAGCGTTGTATAGAACAAGAGATTGCGTAAATGTCATGATAAATTTCTAGGGGAGTTAGGGCACATCATGTGGATAAAAATTGCATAGGAACCCATGTGCCGTGAAATGTCATCGTAGGCGGCTAGGGATCTTTCTTATTATGACCTGTTCAAAAAAGCATACGAAAAACAGTTTAGAATAGAGAAACGTCCCTAGTTAGTGAAATACGATGACATTTTCAAGCATATCTAATATATATAATTCTCTTACTTGGCTCCCTAATTTTGGCTGTATTTCTTTTCCGCCGGTGGCAACGTTTGATTTGTTTTGTTTACGNACAAACGTGGGGCGCATGAAATACATAACAGTAATGTTATATTAGTGTGTGTATGTGTGCTCTTGAGAATATGTGTATGTATATTTGTAATTGTATCTGAATGTGGATGTAGAGAGCATCAGCTGCGGCAATCTCATACTATTAAGCTAGGCAGAAGTGAGTAGTCTTTGTCTATAGCTCTCTATTTTAGTATTTTGTCGAAAGCGCTTTTTTTCACGAATTTATATATTACGAATTTATTTGACGATTTTTGATTTATATCACGAATTATACTATAGCACATTTCTAATAGGTTTAACGAATTACATGTCATATATTTACAAATATATTTTAATGAATAATTATAATAATAATTAAAAAAAAAGTTGTTTTATGGATTTGAAAGATTGTTTTGAATTCTTAGAATTTTGTATTTGCAATGCACCTAAGTTAGTAGCGAGCGAAGCGAGCTTGGTTTGCGAAACGAACCATATTAGATTGCGCAGCAATTTTCGGGGGTTGGCGAGCGTCAGCGAGCAGGGGGCTTAGAATTTCTTACAGAATCACTCAGACGAAGTGATTGTGTTTTATTTAAATANTATATATATATATATAATAACGTTTTTAAACTTGTACATTTTGACAGAAAAAACGAGTAAAAATGTCATTAAGAAGAAAAGAAACTGGAACTTGAAGAGAGAAAACGTTCGCAAATTTGAAATTAACGATACAAAAGTTTTTAAGATCTGTAAAAGAAACTCAAGCAACAGAATGCAAAAAAAAAATTTCTCAGTGTAATTCATATTTGTTTTATTAATGAAAAAAACTAAAACCAATGCTAGCTAATTCTGTTTTTATTTAGGTAAACCTATCATTCTCCAATATAAAACACATACGTTTTTCATAAAGGAGAAAGAATTACACGCACATTTTATAAATGAAAGACAAATTGACGTTAGATTGAATTCCATAAAGTGAATGAAATCTAATGAAGCTAAGCATCGTCCCTGAAATTGCGTACAGTTGTAATTTACATCTTTCAAGCAACAAATTAAGAGTATGAAGTAATACGAAGAAATAACAGTCAAAGAGAACGAAAGGAAACAGTTGTAAAAGTGCCAAATGAAATATATGAAACGAAATCGTTTCCTATTGTCGCGCTAATAGCTTATTCGGTTATTAAATCTTGTAGGTCTGGTAAATAAACCTAATTGCATATTTCGCTCCGGAGTTATTATAATGAGTATTGATTTCTCATTTAGACTTTAATAAAGTCACTTGTATTTACAATTTAATTTAATTATTTAACAAATGGTAATAACGTTCTTTTCTCCGATAGTTGGCTTAGCCATTTTGGCATCTTTTTAAGTATTTTTTTTTCACGTAATAAATTTGTTAATTGTATGGAAGATTGATTGTAAAAGTGTAAGTTTTTTATGATGCGTCTTTTTCCGGTACTTAATTCTATTTTAATCTTTTCCTTGGCAACCGGGATTATAAATGCAAACTCAGATTAGAGAAACTTAAGTCGAAGGCAATTTTGTGGGGAGTCTAATTTTGGAAAAAACTTTCTTTGGTTCTTATTTCGGTTTGTGTTCTAGGTTCTTTGGCTTGTGTTGTGTTAAGAGAAGTCTTTGATTTTATAAAAATTATTTAGACAAATATTTATAATTATGTGAACAAAAATTATTATTTGTACGGATACTATTACATTCATACAAACTGCAACTTATTACAAAATTAATTTATTAAATTTAACATTTTTGATTGCTTGTTTGATTTAAACCATTGAAAAATCGTCGTTAATTAATGAATTACATTGGAGAACAAAATTTTCATTGCATTAATACAAATGCTTATCTAATTCGGGTATGAGAATTTCCAATCTGAAATTAGTTTTGCTACAGAAGCAACAGATTTTCTGTTAAATTACATGTTTAGTCTTTTTTTTTTCTGTCGGGAAGTACAAGTTTAAAAAAGTTCTATTTCACCGGGGATTGTCTAAATCTTACGAATAACTTCAAGGAGAGTTAGAATACATCATCAGGATCCAAATTGCGCATGAATTCATACCCAAAAATGTCGTCATACGCCACTAGAGACACTTCTCTATTGTGAACTGTCCCTTCGTTTGCTTCTGAACAGGTCAAAATAGTAAGTGCCCATAGCCTCATACGAGGACATTTCAGGACAGGAGTTCTTATGTAATTTTAATCCCGATAACGTGCCCTTACTACCCTAGAAGTTTATTGCAGAATTTATGCGACTCTCTGTTGTATACAACGCTCTTAAACTTGTACATTTTGTCAAAAAATTTGACTAAAAATGTCCTTTTGAAACAAAACTGTAGCATGGAAGTAGATGCTGATTGCAGATTTGAAATCGGTGACGTCAAAATATCCAAGATCTGTTGCAAAATCTCACGCAAGAGAAAACAAAACAAAGAGAGTTTTGTTTTCCTGTGTTATCAAATTATATTTTGAGCGAAAGCGAAATGATTTAGCTAAGATGATTTTGACGGAACGATTTTTTTTTGGAAAAGTGAAAAGTAAATTGGAAAAATAACGCAAAAGTATGTAATTTATCAATTGCAATAGTTCCATATAGTTCGTGAGTACTAATTTAAAACAAAATCCCGCATTTAGAGGTTTATGANCGCGAACGCCACTTTTTGTGCGTAAAACCGGTCTGTCAAAAGCGTGTTGCTTTTCTGAACCCCCCCCGGGGAAAGTTAAATGTCCTTATCCCCTATATTAGTCCCTGTGAATTATTAAGCGATTATGCTATTATGATTAAGCGATTATGCTTATTTTGTAGCTATATATAAATGTTGAAATTTTTTTCATCAACTTTTATGTTTTAATATAAAACTTTTTAGTACTTATGAAATACTTTAAAATATCCACGGATTTTAAAAAAGAAGTAATAATATTAATGCTTTTGGGATTCGGTGGAAAGTTTAATAGATTATGAGGAGTCATAGCTGGGCTTTACAAAAATCCAGAGTCGGAGTTGAATGTGGAATCAATGTAATAAAAAATAGAGTGACGTGGAGTTTGAGTCCATGGCTCTGTTTGCAATACTAAAATAAAATAATTTGTGTTTGTTGTAGTGTTTTAACATTTAATAACGAATGCACGAAAATTTATGCCGAATAAATTTGAAAGGTGTCAGTTTTAATACCTTCATATGTTTATAGAAAGAAATAATTCAAACAAAGCATCTTACACTCTTTGAAAGTTTAAATTCAGATTTCAGAGGAAATTCGAAATTAATATTCAGTATTACAGCATGGCCCTATATCTCACCGTAATATTGACCCATAGTATTCTAACTGGACCAAGTATTATAATACCGGGAACTAGTGTACCCTACCAAAGGAAATAATTATAGGCTTAATGGAGGGCTCACAATGAGGCACTATAGGTTGCTATGTATGTATATATATAATAGTGAGTTGAATAGTGTAAAAAAGGGAAAATTTGAAGTCAATATTCTGTGCTACAATATAGCTCTATATCTCCCCCTATTATTGTCCCATAATATTTAAACTGGACTACGTATTATATTACCGGGCACTTGTGTACCCTATCGGAGGAAATAATTGTAGGCCTAATAGGGGTCATACAATGTGGCTATTAGTTTTATCTAAGTTTATTTTAGTTTATTAAAATGTAATTAACTATTAGTCTATTATTTAATTTATTATGTTATTTAATTTATTATAACTCTAGAAACGAAATACTTAATTTTAAGAAGAATTTGAGTAGCAACAATGTTTACCTTAGGAATATATGAAGTGAAAAAAAGTAGTACATGCAAGTATTAATTAATTTTTTTAAACATCGTCTAAAGTAACATCTCTCTAACTAGATTAAGTAATATTTTTAAGTGTAGTTATATGGTAACTTATAAATTATGTTTTCCTCCATACAATGTTGCAATCATGTAATGTTTTCAGATTGACGATATGACAAATCAGAGAATTCCATTGGCCATTGCTGCAGGGGGTGGAGGCTTGTCTTCTAAATTACCAATGGATGATAATACTGCAAATATCTCACCACATGGTCTGATGCCCAATAGTTCTATTTTACCCATCAACGGCTATACTGGATCAGGAGCGGGTAAATTCATCATTTTTATTTTGAAATTTGCTACATTTTTACAAGTGTTATTCGATTATACGTAACTGGACCACAGCCTTAAGACTGTCTTTTAAAAGGCCCCGTCGTCATTTGAAATTATACTTTTTGCGATTATGCTTTGTTTTTAATAACTGCTGTGAGTTTGCAACTGTTACTCATGTCCATTAGGTAAATTTTAGTCTATCTAAAGAGCGCAAAACGTTAATATGGGGAAAAGCCACAGTTTTGAGAAAATGAAAAACGTTTGTGGTATATTTTTTTCAAATATTTTTTATAAACTTACCCTAATATTACCCCAATTAGGATCTAAGCCAATGCACAAGATCTAATTTATAGAGAAACTTTAGCCTACTTTTCATTAGGATGTAAGCTTTGAGTACATAAGCAATACATGCGATTATCCAATTTTCTGAAAAATTTCAGCCATGGTTCGAGTAGAACTTTTAAAATGAAAATTAAAGCTTATATCCTAATTTTTTGCAAGGTAAAGAGAACAATTCTTACGAAATATTACTTTAATTCCAGCATTTAAACTCAGCGAAATCTTCTTTTTATGAAACAAAATGTTTAGCTTAATCTTTTTTACTGTAAAAAGAGTTCTGTTTTTAAAAAAGAAATGAAGTAAGCCTTAATAAAACAAATTCTTTGAAATAAAATTTAAAGTAACTTTCATCTTAGAACAAGAAAACATTCTCTAAATTCCACTTAAATAAATGTGCATTTAAATTTTTGCGTTGCGATTACTTTAAAAGTGTAAAGAAAACTACTTTACAAACTAGTTCCACTAGAAGTGTGAAAGAAAAAAAAAATCTGCGCATATCTAAATGAACAGAACGAAAGCGTTTTTTAAAATACAAGAATTTTAACTGCTCCGCTGACTGTAACTTGAAATGAACTGAAACAGAATCAAAAATTTGTTTCCAAATGTAAATGTGTTCATTTCATCGTAAGTGGAGATGCTTTTGTTATAATTTTAGAACGAAAATACAAAAAACGAAATGTTTTATAAAAGCCTGTTGGGTTTTTCGTTCGAAACTGATTTTAAAAAAGAGTTAACATATTTTAACTGTATTGGATACTTCAATTTTGGTTGCGTAAAAGTTTTTGTTTTTTCTATTTTCAAAATTTATTTATGATTTTTTTCCTCTAAAAGCTTTATTTTGTCGAAGCAGTTTTTGACTATTACAAGAAAAATTTTATTTTATATTAACTAATTAGAATAATAATTGTTGATTGCAAATTTTGGAAACACCTGGCATTATTTTTGTTTTATTTGAACAGTTTTCAACTATTACAAAAACGATTTCATTTTATATGGACTAATTAGAATAATAATTGCAGATTACAATCGGCGTTATTTTTGTTTTATTTGAACAGTTTACAAGAACAATTTCATTTTATATTAACTAATTAGAATAATGATTGGTGAATTCAAATTTTGAAAACACTTGGCATTATTTTGTGTTTAATTTGATTATTTAGTATTTAATAACTTAAGTACATAAACTATTTACTTTTTAAAAGAGCGACAAATCAAGTAAATTTAACTGAAAAATAAAATAAAATGTTTAAAAACCATTTTTTCTAGTACAATAAAATGGAGAAAATAACTCAATTTTCGCTTAACCACAAAACGGGGTGTATAATAATATATATCATGATAAAAGTGGTCCCATTATAGATATTACTTTATTTATGTAGATCATATATCATATATATGTGGTGCAATATAGGTATCATATACTTCAATTATTTCATAAATTTATAATTATTTCTAATCATTCCAAATTCTGTTCTAATTAAATTAAATTAGCTATTGAATTTTCATCCCATCTCATAAAAAACAAATAATAAATACTTATATTCTTTTAACAATAAATATAACATTAACTTTTTATTCAATACAATTTTATAATTAATTGTAATTCAATGTCACGACAAAACGAACATCAAAATCTATTTTTAATCTTACATTTTTTTCGCTGTTATATATTTTTCAACCACAAAAATATTATGCTTGCAGGGTTATAATAAATCCAAATTATCTTTTTGTGATTAATTTGTAAGCCAGATAATTTAAAATTTAATGTTAGGAATGCGGTGTTGGCTTAACTTTTGGCAGTATAAATTCTCGATAATTCGCCAATAATGGATCGCTTTTCACGCTTCTAAATGTTGGTTTGGAATCACACATGAACTTGGATTTTAAAAATGTTGGCGAAGGGATTTGGGGTTTCTGAATTTCTCATGATCCTTCAGTCCGACAGTTAAGAATGTTACAAAATTAATAAGAATGAATGTTTGGAACTGTCTTCCTCTCTCTAAGAAGAACTGCCTGATGATTTACTAGCATAATATTTTTTAAGTTTGTAGCTGTGGCCATATTTATGATCTTTTAAAATAATTTCTTTATATTTTGATCATCTCTCATCTGCATAATGCCAAAGCAATGCATGGGATTACGTTATCTGACACAATAGAATGGCTCCTTCATATTTGGTTTGACAAAAATCAAATATTTTGCTCTTCTTTAGTTCAGAAAATGTTATTTTATTTTATTATTTTCTTTTTTTTAGTTTGTGGAAAGTATGGAATTTCGATAGGAAATAAAAATAGCTAAATAATTTGCTTGGGACATATTAAAAAAAACAATCGTAACTACTTTTGGTCACAAAACGGTAGAAGCTTTTATACTCGAAAAAAAAACAGAAGTGTTATTTGGACATATTTGTTACTTAGCAAGTTTGACGTAATGCCGATTAGCAATAAATTCCTTTTGGCGATAATTAATGTGATAAATTCTGCTAGTAGCGATCAGGAAATTAAGGAAACTAGTATCGTCTTGCAGAACAAAGCTGTAGTTCATATTTGAGAGCCATAGCTCATCTTAAAGCTCTCGGAATAAATAATTGATTATAAGTTGATTTGGTGACGAAAGAACGATAAAATTTTCTTGTATCGCTCAGGAAAAGATGGAAGCATACATTTTCATAAAGGCACAGAGCTCAAAAAAGATTTAAGTGCCTTAGCTAATTGAAAAGTAATCGAAATTTCTGTTTCAAGATTCCATAGTTACAAACTCAAAAGTGGGGTAATAAAACTGTTAAATGAGTGAGCAAGAGCAACATTTGCCGAAAATGTTGAAATAGAAGTACTGCGTTTTTTTTATTTTCATAAACCAAGGCTGAACTTGATTGTAACAGCTTGTATACAGGCTTGCTCATTATCTAAATTTAAACAGGCGACTGATCCAGTGGCCGCTACTAACCTAAGAAATCAACCTAATTGTTTGCGTCACACAACATATAAAATATTGACATTTCAGAGATGTTTTCTTGTTGCCTTGGCAACAAAAGAATAAAGGAAATCATATTTAATAATTTAACTTAATTGGTACAATAATGTTGTGAACACTTATTTTTATTATACGAATCAGTGGGGAAAAAAAGGTCTGTTATTTATTTTGGAAGTACGATATACTGGATAATATCAAAATTATAAATTAAACATCAGTAGGCTTGGAATGATAAACAGGATTTTGATGATATAAAACAGCAGTTCCCAAATGGTATTCCGTGGAGTCCTAGCATTCCGTGGGATGATGTGGAGTTAAAAGAGTTCGGTTTTTAACAGTTTTTTCAACATAATTAAACCTTAAATTATATTTAAATTCAATCAATTTATTATTTACTTAATATTTTGGTTGCCTTTAAAAAATTATTTGAAGTAAAAAGAAAATGCAAAAGAAAAGAGTTTTTTTTTTCAGAAACAACAATGTATTGAATAAATTATGAAAAGGACTTCCATTTATAAAAAAAAATGCATAAGCAATTCCTGTCGCGCTTTTATTATCAAAATAAGATAACTAAATATAATAGTAACAAAATGTATTAATAACGAATTATTATGTTTCCCTATAACAACTATGTTTAACGTTTATAGCAGTTTTTCTTTTTTCTTTCTTTTTTTCAACAAAAATCTAAATTCGGCTTTTTATATTAATTTTCTGGTCATGTTTATACGCCAAAAACAAATTCATAAATAGACTATATTCAGCTCCAGAACTGCGAGTTCAAATGTCGGACATAACAACCAATTCAAGATCATTAATGATGAGACGATGAAAAAACTATATTCCTCTTATTTTTATTTTTTCACGTTTTTCAAACATTTTATGTATAATAGAACTGCCGACAAGATTCTGAGTTTACGACTATTAATGTTCAACTCCGTAGGCTTGTAGTTTTAAATCTAACCCAGAAGACAGGCGAACTCCTAGATCAAGATTTGGAACAAACTAGCTTTTGTGGAGAGGAAAACCACGAAAACTTAGGCCGACGGCATTGGATTCTGACCCATGATCCGTTTTTCACTGAAGACTTTAGGTTTAGCACAGTAGTCACTGCAGGCCGGGAGCAGAGTTCGTATCAACCAGCCACCGTTGGGATTCGAACCTAGTGCACCTCATTGGGAAGCTATCGCCCTTTCGCATGAATAAGTTTTTTATGCTTTATTTATAAAGTTGGGGTTCCACAGGAAGAAGGTATTTTGTGACTTTGGAATTACACGATGTATCAATTGCTTTTAAATAAAACAATATTTCTTTCAAACTATCCGCATTACTTTAGATATTTTTATTAATTCTTTTACTACAATATAAAAAAGAAATAAAGCTGCATAGGTAAATAAAGACATATCTTACTAATTTGAGTATGCTTTAGGTTTTAAATTTTTCCTTGGATTTTTGAAGTTAAATTGAAAGAGACTTATCCCTAAGTTTTGTACGATTTCCTTGCTATTTATAGATAATACAACAAAAGTACCTTGAGTTTGTGAAAAAGCACTTTTAAAGATAAATCAATTTTCAAAATTTATAGCCGTAAGTGGATTGTGATTAAATCAATTCTATTGAAAAAGTAGTATAATACTTTGAAAATAAATAAATAAAGGAGAAATTGAAAATTTTTTAGTTCTTCGGA